TGAATGAAAGTCTCTTCTTCTCATTCAGTACAAAGGATTCATGATGTAAAAGGGAAGGGATCCTCCGAGAATTCGCGGGTCTCCTTTTCTTCACATTCCTTTCTATTTCTTGGCGATTGTGATGCCTGTGCAGCAGTTGAACAAATATGTGTCACAACCCATGGGAGCTTGCCTGTCCCTAGCTTGCTTCCCTCGTTTTATTCTCCTGTCACCACAAGCGTCAAGGAAGTGAGAGATATGACTATTTTTTTAAATAACATGATCTACTAAAGATCTTTTAAAAACATCAATTCCATAATTTTTAGATGGTCATTTTTCCCCGTTTCTGTGATTTAATGGTCTCACACTGGCCTTGGTTTTATAATACTTCCTTTCCCGACACGTGCCTTTGTACTGCAAATTGTACGTCAGGTGGGTTCAAGAAACCATATGCTGTCCTCTGCCCTTCTAAAAAAATGGTAAATGTGACCTTTCAAAAAGAAGCGATAGCTGCAGAGAAAGGATTATCTTTGCAATTTTAAAGGTTGGTTTGAATCTAGTGGAGGGGCACCATTGCCTCTTTGTAAACGGTCACTTCATGACAGGGCAATTTGAATAATTAAACAACATAAAGCGCTTAGCACAGTACCCAGAACTTACAAAGTGATCAACAAACACTAATTCGTTTCCTCTCTCTCTTTAAGTAATAAAGGGATATATAGTAATAAAGATAATAAACAAACAATAGCTTCCATTTGCCTTTCACAGTTTACAAATTCCCAGGCAACTGGCACAGCAAGGGTCATTATCTTCATTTTATAGATGATAAAGGCAGGCTCAGAGAGCATATAGGGCTGGTCTCCTGGCACGTGAAGCACCTTATGGCATCCGTTATAAAATATTCCAGTGACACAGCATAAGATCACAAGCTGCCATTCATATTTAGAAGTCTTAGGGTGGTGGAATGGTCCTGCATCTTGACTGTGGTGGTGGTGACAAAAATCCACACGTGACAAAATTACACAGAACAAAATACACACATACACATACACAACTACCCATGGGAAACCGGAGAAACCGGAATAAAGGCTGTGGGTGTGCAAATGTCGGTCTCCTGGATGTGGTATTGGACTGCAGTTATGCAAGATGTCACCAGTGGGAGAAGAAACGCAGGACCTTTCTGTATACTATATTTAACCTTCGGAGCCCTGGTGGCGCAGTGGTTAAGAGGCTGGCTGCTAATCAAAAGGTTGGCAGTTGAAGTCCACCAGCTGTTCCTTGGAAATCCTATGGGGCAGCTCAACTCTGTCCTATAGGGTAGCTATGAGTCAGAATTGGCTCGACGGCAACAGGGATATTTAATCTTCAAGTATAAGCAGGAGAATACACTAATTTGCTGATTATTATCTCCTGTGTACTATGTAAGGAGCCCTGGTGGCACAGTGGTTAAGCACTCAGCTGCTAAACAAAAGGTCAGCGGTTCAAACCCACCAGCCATTCCGACAGAGAAAGATGTGGCAGTCTGCCTCCATAAAGATTTACAGCCTTGGAAACCCTATGGGGCAGTTCTACTCTGTCCTATAGGATCACTATGAGTCAGAATCAACTCAATGGCAATGGTTTGGTTTGTGTGTGTGTGTGTGTACTATGTATTGTATGTATGTATACTAGCATTGCAGCGTCTTCTGAATCTATAACTATTTTCAAATAAAAAAATTTAAAACTAGAAGAACAAGGAGGGAAAAAAGCTACACTTGCCAATAAAATTGAACTTAAATCTGGAGGAGGAAAAAACAGTGTAAAGAAAATGATAAAGACTACATGTGCAGAAGGCTTACACACGCCGCTGTGGTTATACCAGAAGACTGCATTATTTTGGAACAAAAGAGATCATCACCAAAATAAAAAACAGGACTGAGTAGCATTCTAAAGAACGGTTTCTGGTATAAAGCATCTATATTGCACATCACTTCTACATACAGATTTATATAAAATTCCTAAGTCACCTGAAGCACAAAGTAGAATGGCATTACATTCCTGGGGTTAATATTCATCTTTATTGTTAGCACTGTGTTCTACTTGGTATACAGTTAGTTACTAGTTCTGCCAGCAATGATAATGTCTTTCAATTTGCCCAAGCAAATTGACGAGGGCCCCTCAGTCAACGTTTCCATAGAAAGCAGTTAATTAAGTGTAAAGCATAATTATGATGTCTCCGTTAAGGAGACAGGGTGGCCATTCACTCAGTTCCGCATCTTGGCTACATGTTTGTAGAGGAACTTAACCCACCCTCTGGCTGGGCTTTGCCAGAGGTCATAGATTTACCCTTAATTGGCCTCCAGCATCTGTGCAGTCCATGTTCTCAGCACAGACTATACCTTGAAGACCCTCTGCTTTTCAGCCCTTAGGAAAAGGTTGGTTGCGAGGATGAGTACTCATAGAAGATTGTTTGAAGGACACAAGGCCATCTGGTCCTCTAATCTAAAACTTCTCTAGACATAAGAGAATGGTGGACTTGGGTACGTGGATCTGAGCATCTCCCCATAGGACCCACAGAACTGCTTCTGCTGAAGTCCCATGCCGTCAGTTGTGCTGAGCCATGCTTCAAGACACCCCAAAACCCGTTCTGACTCATAGCGACCCTATAGGACAGCGTAGAACTGCCCCTGCTACAAGACAAAGCCTGGGCAAAGCTCTTAAAACCAAAAAAAACCCAAACCCGTTACCATCGAGTTGATTTCGACGAATGGGCACCCCAGGTATTACAAAGTAGAACTGCCCCATAGGGTTTTCTTGGCTGTAACCTTTACAGAAGCAGATTGACAGGCCGCTGGGTGGGTTCGAACCACCAACCTTTCAATTAGTAGTAGAGCACAAATCACTTGTCCCATCCAGGGAGCTTTGGGGCAGAGTCTTTGCAAGGTACCAATTTCAGGGATTTTGTCCACAATATCATCCACCAACTAAAAAAATAACATTTACTATTATCTATGCTATGTTGGGAGCCTTGGTGAT